TCACTGCGACGGAACCACGTGCGACCATTCCCGCACAACAACGCAAAGAACTCCGCGGGCTCGGAACCCAGACTCCGATCCCGGGACCCGGTCCCAAGACTCCGAGCGAGTCCTGCCGGACAGGACTCGCTGGAACTCGCGAGTGGCACCACGGGGAGTGGCACCGCGGGGAGTGGCACCACGGGGAGTGACACCACGGGGAGTGGCACCACGGGGAGTGGAGTGGCACCACAGAGAGTGGCACCGCGGGGAGTGGCACCGCGAGGAGTGGCACCACGGGGCAGAACGTTTCAGTGACTCTCCGACAGAATTCTGGCGACAGCAGCAGCAGCGGCGGCTTCCGCGTGCGTTTCTTTCATTTCGTTCCGCTTTTTTGGCATTTTGTAAAAGTGTCAATCTGCCTTGCGACTCGACGTCAAGACGCCTTTGCCAAGCAAACCCCAATAAATTAAAACCCAACCCCGAGCGAGAAAATTCGATCCGACCGCCGAGCGATCTGCGTCCGCGGCGACCATCACCAGACGGCTGTAGCCCCGGGGAGGCCTCGGCCCTTTGGACCAGCGGGGAGATTCGGCGACTATCGGGGCCACTGCGACCTGGGGTCCACGCCGACGCGAGGCCCACGGCGACCCGTGGGTCACGGCGAGGCCCATGGCGAACCCACGGGCCACGGGGAGGCCCACGGCGAACCCGTGGGCCATGGGGAGGCCCACGGCGAGGCGTGGGGCAACCGAAAGCTGACGGACGGCCCTGGAACCGCGATTCCGAGCGACGCGCGGTCCGCGTCCGTCACAGCGCCGGGGGCGGCGACGTCGCGGCCTTTACAGAGAGCGGCGTGGTTGGTGAATGTCGCCGGTGGCTGCTTGGGAAGTGGAGGGGGAGGGGAGGTGGGCCACACGGCCACTTGCAACTACATCGGTAGACACTGCCCTGGCAAACTATCCGCGAGTGCCTGAGAAGCAGTGCGTGCGTGGGCCTGATCGAGGTAGGGAAATTGTGCGCACACACACACAGACAAAATAGCTGCCATTTGCCACAGAGGGGCGCCGCGTCACCACGGCGCTTGTGCCAGGCTATGTGCACCTCGAGGCTATCACGTGAAATGCGGAAGGCTCGCTGCTGGTAGGTCACGGGATCGAGCCGGATGTCATGGGTTGGCCGACTGAGACGACGAGCAGATGCACCAAATGTGCTCCCAACTGTGCCAACTCGCTTCCGTTTTATCCGCCCGGCGCTCCGCTCATTGTTGTGAGCGTCGCTCCTCCGCCCTCCGTTGTTGTTGGAGGGCGACTCCCTCCAACTGCCCAGCAGCGTCCTTCACGAGCCTCCTCCACAGAGGCCAATTTTAAAACCGCTGGTACCGCTCATCGGCAAGTCCACTCAGCTCCACATTCTCCTTCCGCTACCAAATTAGCTCCATCTCTTCTAGAACTCGTGCCGTGCCCGTTGAGGCCCTTCTATCCGGCCAAACAGAATCTGCTTGGGCAAAGTGGTGGCTGGGCATGCGGGCTACGTAACGCAGCTAATGCAGCCTCGCCTGCCGGATGAGTGCACTGATCATAGGACTGTGTCCAGATCTTTCAAAGATTCGTAAGCTCCTCATACAATCCAACCAGGTCAAATCAAGGATAGATCGTAGGCCAGCCTGAATGTTTTAAACAGGCGCAGATGTTCCTTAAGAGGGCTCCACGTTTAACAAGCAGAGATAAGGGAGGGCATGACTGTGGCCGAGAAGATTTCGGAGCTTCGCGTGGAGCCACAGGCCAGGTAACTTCCACACAGCGGCGTTTACGCAGCTGATGAAACGATAACGCCGCTCGACTGATCCGGAGTGAGACCTCCGCTGCCAAACCGGAGTCGGTCACGAGCGCAGTGCCCAGGTTGCAGGAACTCCTCCACTCTCTCCAGCAACTGGGAGTTGAAACGCCAGCTGCCAAACCATGCAAAGACAAATATCCCCCGTATAGCCTGTAACAGACCGTTGGGGCAAGTGCTGTTAGCGAGCACCTACGAAGGCCGGCACGGCACACGAGGGGGTGGGTGGCCAGCACCACGCCCGACCGCCTTTGTCTCCCCAGTGGCGATGTTTACACACCGCACCAGGTACTCATTTGAGGCTGAGTCGACCTAGGGGAGGCCCAGGGACCGGTTCAGATAATCATCACCGGTGTTGGTGGCCGTGAGCGGGAGTCGAACTCGGGTCGCCGGGTTTGTTGTGCACAGCGTAGCGCTAACCGCTGCGCCACCGCTCCCCGTGCACCCCGACGCGCACGCAATTCCCCCTCGCCCTGTGCAAGTCACAGAAAATGATGCTCCCCGTTGATAGTACAAACGAAATGAAACATCGCTCAAGAGTTTAGAAAACAGCTTCTCCAACGTATAAATACAGAAAACCCGTGCACACACAGCACGGAAATCATAGCCTCCGAAATTCGCACAGCGCGAGTATAAATATCTCCGTCACCTCGAGTGGCAGGGGGGGGGGGGTGGTGAGGGGGGGGGGGGCACCTGGTAGCCACGTGGTAGCCATGCGGTAGCCACGTGGTAGACACGTGGTAGCTGCGGCGTCTACACAGCGCTAGACAACACTGGGGGTGCCGGTGCGTACCGTGCAAACAGTCCCACATCCTCGACACCGACACGCGGCCTCAAATGCTGACCCACAGCCACGACGCTGACCCACAGCCTCAACGCTGAGCCAGTCTCAATACTGCCTGGTAGCCTCAACACTGACCCATAGTCTCAACACCGAGCCAGAGACTCAACGCTGCCCCCGCTGATAATTCAAAATTGCAAATGCGCAGCCCTGCAACTGCTCGCTTGCTCCACTGCTGGCGGAAGAGACCTCTCCACTTAAGGGAGCCGGAGTGAGTGGACGCCCTCTAGTGGTATTGGGCCTACTCTTCCACGATGGATAAACATTTTAAGAGGGGGGGGGGGGGGTGTGCCCACACTACCCCACCACACGCGACCTGCAGCTCAACTCAACTGTAGTGAACCCATCTATGCAGGGTGGTCCAAAAGTCAGGACACACAGGGGTACAATTATACAGGATGGTCCAAAAGTCAGGACACAGAGCTGTTATTACACAGGGTGATTATTATACAGGGTGGCCCAAAATGTCAGACACATAGGGGTATCATTATACAAGGTGGCCCAAAAGTCAGGACACATAGGGGTACAATTATACAGGGTGGCCCAAAAGTCAGGACACAGAGCTGTTATTATACAGGGTGGCCCAAAAGTCAGGACACACAGGGTTATTGTTATACAGGGTGGCCCAAAAGTCAGGACAAACAGGGTTATTGTTATACAGGGTGGCCCAAAAGTCAGGACACATAGGGTTATTGTTATACAGGGTGGCCCAAAAGGTCAGGACACACAGGGTTATTATTCAAGGTGGCCCAAAAGGTCAGGACACACAGGGTTATTATTATACAGGGTGGCTCAAAAGGTCAGGACACACAGGGTTATTATTATTATACATTGTGAGCCAAAAGTCAGGACACATAGGGGTATTATTATACAGGGTGGCCCAAAAGTCAGGACACACAGGGTTATTGTTATACAGGGTGAGCCAAAAGTCAGGACACATAGGGGTATTATTATACAGGGTTATTGTTATACAGGGTGGCCCAAAATTCAGGACACACAGGGTTATTGTTATATAGGGTGGCCCAAAAGTCAGGACACATAGGGGTATTATTATACAGGGTGGCCCAAAAGTCAGGACACAAACGGTTATTTCATTTATTTGAATACTGGCATTAAAACATGCTAATTTATCCTCGATAAAGTTAATACTTTACCATGTTATTATGTATTTGTCTTCCTCTCGACCGCAAGTGAATTGGAGACAAAGCGGAGAAACGAAGATCGTTCACCCACCACGTGATGACGCCGACGACGAGAAGAGTTTCTCCACAGTTCGCCGGTTAATTCACGCACCATGCACGAATGTTCACGGAAGTCCCTTTGAACATTTGTTAAAATACATTAAATAACGCTACGGCATTTGTTAAAATTCTGTAGGGTTCATAACCCGACGCGTCCTGACTTTTGGGTCACCCTGTATGACAATAACCCGACCGTGTTCTGACTTTCGGGCCATTCTATAAAACTCTACGTGTCCTGACTTTTGGGCCACCTTATGTAACAATAACCCCCTGTGTGTCGTGACTTTTAGGCCACCCTACATAACAATAACCCTGTGTGTCCTGACTTTTGGGCCACCCTATGTAACAATAACCCTGTGTGTTCTGACTTTTGGGCCACCCTATGTAACAATAACCCTGTCCTTACTTTTGGGCCACCCTATGTAACAATAACCCTGTCCTTACTTTTGGGCCACCCTATGTAACAATAACTCTACGTGTCCTGACTTTTGGGCCACCCGAAATAACAATAACCCCGTGTGTCCTGACTTTTGGGCCACCCTGGACAGCTGCCGCGCCGGGAGGTCGAACCGGCGACCTTTGTATTTGTGGGGGGCAGCGCGTTAAGGTGGGGGGGGGGTGGTGGAGCACGAGTTGACCACCACAGTACAGACCCACGGCTGTGCTGTGTCACAGACACGTGGTGCACGTACACCATTGTGCGTGTTCACGCGTGTGTGTGTGCGCTTGTTCACGCGTGCGTTTACTCGGCCTCACGTGAGCGTCTGGTGTGGTGTGCACGTGTACAACATCGCCACTCGGGAGACAAAGGCGGCCGGGCGCGGTGCTGGCCACCCACCCCCTCTCTCCCGTTGCCGTGCCGGCCTTCACAGGTGCTACTCGCCAACGGCACTTGCCCCAACAGTCCGTGAAGGCCACACGGAGGGGTCTTCGCCTTTGTGTGTTGTGGGGAGCGGTGGCGCAGCGATTAGCGCACTGCGCAACGAACCCGGCCAACGCGAGGCGCGCGAGAGATCCCAGACTGGTCCCGGGCCTCCCCCCCGAGGTCGACTCAAACCTAAAGGAAGTGAGTGCCCGGCGCCGTGTGTACTGACCATCGGCCGCTACTCGCTAACGGCACTCGCCCCCAGCAGCAGCCCCCGTGCGGGCTACGCGGGAGGGGGCACCCGCAGGCCCCGTCACGGCGACAGGCGCTGCCGTTGTTGGCGTTGTGGCGTTGGCGCCGATGACCCACACGCTGGTGGTCATCACCCACGGCATCGCAGCCACGCCGCCACCGGTGACGAAGCTTTCGCTCCGCTGAATATCCTCCCGGCGGCTGCGTGTGCCGGAGTAGGTAGCACGTGATGAGCAGTGGCCAAGCCGGGCGCAGATACAGACTGGACTGGAAATGATCATCACCATCGCTACATAATTACGACATCAACACCGCAAACTTGGCCATCGCCACCACCCCACACGTCATCAGTACCATCGTCACCACCGCCAAAGGCTAAAAAAGGTATCCGAACCTGGTCTGCGACCTTCCCCGAGGTGGATTCGGCCTCGAATGGGAAAGCACCCTCCTCTCGTGGCGGGAGTCGTCCTGGCAATGGTCATCACCACAGTCCACAACAACAACCGCCACAATAACAACAACCGCCACAACCGTCACAACCAGCCAGTCGTTCATGATTGGTGGCAGCCCCACTGCGTCCCCCATGCCGGGCGGTCCTTAATAGGTGCTCGCAAACGGTACGCGCGCATGCGCAGATATACAGAAAAGACAAAGATCCCCCGTGTAGCCTTAACAGACTGCTGGGGCAAGTGCTGTTAGCGAGCAGCACCTATGAAGGCCGGCACGGCACACGAGGGGGTGGGTGGCCGGCACCGCGCCCGGCCGCCTTTGTCTCCCCGGTGGCGATGTTTACTACGCACCGCACCAGGTACTACTCATTTGAGGCCGAGTCGACCTAGGGGAGGCCCAGGAGCGCCTCAGATAATCGTCACTGGCGGTGTTGGCCGCGAGCGGGAATCGAACCCAGCTCGCCGGGTTCGTAGCGCAGCGTGGCGCTAACCGCTGCACCACCGCTCCCCCATTACGCACACGCGCATACACAAGATTGTGACGCATGATACTGCACAACAACAAGCTGTCGGGGCATAAATCGGCGTACTGACTGTTGCACCACCGCTCCTCACACACACACACACATACGCACACACATACGCACACACATACGCACGCACGCACGTGCTCGTTCGTTTAAAAGTCTCAAAATGCAGGCCCGAGTTCGCCACAGGTTTGGCGAAGGCCGGGGGACGACTGACACCGCCGCCTCTCTTTCCACTGCGCGAGCCGAGCCGTGCCGAGCCGTGCCGAGAGGCGCAGCGGGCGATGCGGTCAAGCCGCGTCCCGGCGGCGTCACCGACTGGCGCGGTTAGCCCCCCCCCGCCTCGCCCCCCCCTCCCTCCCGAGCCAGATTCGGACGTCTTCTTTGTGATGCCGGCAGAGTACAGCGCCGGTTTGGTTCCGGCTCGGGTCCAGTGCGCCAGTGGAAAAACCACCACCCCCCACCACCGCCGTCACCGCGCTGGCCCGGATGTAGCGGTGGAAAAACCACCACCACCCCCGTCACCGCGCTGGCCCGGATGTAGCGGTGGAAAAACCACCACCACCCCCGTCACCGCGCTGGCCCGGATGTAGCGGTGGAAAAACCACCACCACCGCCGTCACCGCGCTGGCCCGGATGTAGCAGTGGAAAAACCACCACCACCCCCGTCACCGTGCTGGCCCGGATGTAGCGGTGGAAAAACCACCACCACCCCCGTCACCGCGCTGGCCCGGATGTCGCGGTGGAAAAACCACCACCACCCCCGTAACCGCGCTGGCCCGGATGTAGCGGTGGAAAAACCACCACCACCCCCGTCACTGCGCTGGCCCGGATGTAGCGGTGGAAAAACCACCACCACCCCCCGTCACCGTGCTGGCCCGGATGTAGCGGTGGAAAAACAACCACCACCCCCCGTCACCGCGCTGGCCCGGATGTCGCGGTGGAAAAACCACCACCACCCCCGTAACCGCGCTGGCCCGGATGTAGCGGTGGAAAAACCACCACCACCCCCGTCACTGCGCTGGCCCGGATGTAGCGGTGGAAAAACCACCACCACCCCCCGTCACCGCGCTGGCCCGGATGTAGCGGTGGAAAAACCACCACCACCCCCGTCACCGCGCTGGCCCGGATGTAGCGGTGGAAAAACCACCACCACCCCCGTCACCGCGCTGGCCCGGATGTAGCCGTGGAAAAACCACCACCACCCCCTGTCACCGCGCTGGCCCGGATGTAGCCGTGGAAAAACCACCACCACCCCCCGTCACCGCGCTGGCCCGGATGTAGCGGTGGAAAAACCACCACCACCCCCGTCACCGCCCGTTCCCCCGCCAGCCTCCCCCCACCCCCTCCACCCCACCCACCCCCCTCCCCGCCGCCCGCCACCGACGCGTGGGCACGGTTCGGTGGTTGCCGGCGGGGGACAAACGCGGCGCTACACACTGAGGATGGAAGGCGGCGGAGGCAGGAGGGGCTCGCGATGGCCGACCCGGGGGGGCGAGGGGCGGTGGGCGCCGGGGCCCCCCCCCCCACCTGCTGTAGAGGAGCCCTTCGAAGGGGTTGAGCCAGCCGAGCGAGGGGGGACCCCCCCCGAAGACGGAGCGCATGCCCTCCCAGCGCACGCGCCGCTCCCAGCTGGGGTGCTCCCCCTTCAGCCTCTCGATCTCCTGGGGGGGGGGCGGGGGGGTGAGGGGGAAAAGCGGCCGGGGGGAGCATGGGGGAGAGGGGGTGGTTAACGAGAGGGGAACTAGGGGGTAAAGAGTGCGATTGTGTATGTATTTGTGTGTATGTTTGTGTATTTGTGTGTATATGTATTTGTGTATGTATTTGTGTGTATGTATTTGTGTATGTATTTGTGTGTATATTTGTGTGTGTATGTATTTGTGTGTATGTATTTGTGTATGTATTTGTGTGTATGTTTGTGTATTTGTGTGTATATGTATTTGTGTATGTATTTGTGTGTATGTATTTGTGTATGTATTTGTGTGTATATTTGTGTGTGTATGTATTTGTGTGTGTATTTGTGTGTATGTATTTGTGTATGTATTTGTGTGTATGTTTGTGTATTTGTGTGTATATGTATTTGTGTATGTATTTGTGTGTATGTATTTGTGTATGTATTTGTGTGTATATTTGTGTGTGTATGTATTTGTGTGTGTATTTGTGTGTATGCTTGTGTGTGTATTTGTGTGTGTATGTATTTGTGTGTATGTTTATGTGTGTATTTGTGTGTATGTGTGTGTATGTATTTGTAACAACTACAGGGGCATCTCACTCCTCAGTGTGCCGGGAAAGGTCCTGGCAAGGATTATTCAGCATCGTCTTGCCAGGCACGCTGAGGAGAGGCTTGCGGAGCCCCAATGCAGTTTCAGGATAGGGCGGTCCTGCACAGATGCTATATTTTCTGTCCGTCTGCTACAGCAGAGGTGTAGGGAATTCCAACAAGACCTACATCTCTGCTTTATTGACCTGGTCAAGGCCTATGATACCATCAGTAGGCCTGGGCTCTGGGTCGTTCTTCGTGCTTTTGGAGTCCCTGACCCTCTGCTCACGATCATTAAGGACCTTCATGATGGTGAGCGGGCCCGGGAAAAACTACGTGGCCGGGAGTCAGAGCCATTCCCTGTACACCTTGGGGTGCGACAGGGATGTCCTCTGGCTCCCACATTATTTAACATCTATTTTGACCACGTAGTTCGTGAAGCCTTCAATAGCTGTACCGGGGGAATCTCCATATGGTACAGATATAATGGGAGGCTGATCGATGCCCGGGTGCGGTCAAGGGATGGCTCCCTATTGCTCAACCACGTTATGTATGCTGATGATTTGGTAATAGCTGCTCAGTCAGAGGAGGAGTTGGAGACGCTGCTGCTGAGACTGAAGCGTGCCACTAAGAGGTGGGGCCTTACCATCAGCCCCACCAAAACTAAGCACCTGCCTGAGTATTTTGTACCATCGGACACTCCACCCCCACAACTCCCGATCGGTGATGGGGCAGTTGTGGAGAGAGTGGAGAGTTCCAGTACCTGGGCAGTGTGCTTATGACTGGCTCCAGTTTAACAGCAGAGGTCTCACTCCGAATCAGTCGAGCGGCAATATCTTTTCATCGGTTGCGTAACGCTGTGTGGAAGCTACCTGGTCTGTCGCTCCGCACTAAGCTTCAGGTCTTCTCGGCCACGGTCATTCCCTCCCTTCTCTACGCTTGCGAAACGTGGACCCCCCTAATGGCACATCTTCGCCGGTTAGAAACATTTAGGTTGGCCTGCCTACGATCCATCCTGGGTTTAACCAGACTGGATTGTGTGAGGAGCTCACAAATCCTTGAAAGATCTGGGCAAGGTCCCATTGGTGAGCTCCTCCGGCGGGCAAGGCTGCGATGGCTGGGTCATGTAGCCCGCATGCCCAGCCACCGCATGCCGAAACAGCTTTTGTTTGGCCGGATTGAGGGGGCAAAGCGGGCGCGGCACGGGCTAGAGAAGAGATGGAGTGATGTGGTACAGGAGGACGTGGAGCTGAGTGGACTTGCCGATGACTGGTACCAGCGGTGTCAAGATCGGCCTCTGTGGAGGAGGCTCGTGAAGGATGCTACTGGGCAGTTGGAGGTAGTCGCCCTCCAACAACAACGGAGGGCGGAGGAGCGACGCTCACAACAACGAGCGGAGCGGAGCGCCGGGTGGCTAAAGCACAGCGGGTTGGCACAGTAGGGGGCACTGGTGGTGCATCAGCCAGTCATCTCAGTCAGTCGACCCGTGGCACCTGGGTCTGCCCCGTGACCTCCTGCCAGCGGGCGTTCGACACTTCACGTGGCCTCAGGGTGCACATAGCCTGGCACAAGCGTCGTGGTGACGTCACCGCCACTTAGTGGCGAATGGCGGTTGTTGTTGTTGTATGTATTTGTGTGTATTTGTGTGTGTATTTGTGTGTGTATTTGTGTGTATGTTTGTGTGTGTATGTATTTGTGTGTATATTTGTTTGTATGTATGGTAGGAGCGGTGGAAGGAGCGGTGGTGTAGCGGTTAGCGCTACGCTGCACTACGAACCCGGTGACCCGAGTTGGATTCCCGCTCACGACCAACACCGGTGACGATTATCTGAAGCGGTCCTGGGCCTCCCCTAGGTCGACTCAGCCTCTAATGAGTACCTAGTGCGATGTGTAAACATCGCCACTGGGGAGACAAAGGCAGCCGGGCGTGGTGCTGGCCACCCACCCCCTCGTGTGCCGTGCCGGCCTTCATAGGTGCTCGCTAACAGCACTTGCCCCAACAGTCCAACAGTCTGTTCATGCTTTCCGTAGAATCTTTATCTTTGTACGTATGTGTACGTGCGTGTACACGTGCGTGCGCGTGGGTGTACACGTGCGTGCGCGTGGGTGTACACGTGCGTGCGCGTGTGTGTACACGTGCGTGTGTGTACACGTGCGTGCGCGTGTGTGTACACGTGCGTGTCCCCACCGTCTCGTCGGTGCAGATGGCGTGCACCTGGGTGCCGAACATGACGGCCGTGAAGAGGAGGAAGAGGAGCCCCTCGAAGCAGAGCAGAATGAGCACCAGCACCGTGACCGGGGGGGAGAAGCGGCTACAGTCTGGGACACGCGGGGAGACACGGGGGAGACACGGGGGGAGACGCGGGGGGAGACGCGGGGGGAGACACGGGGGGAGACACAGGGGGGAGATACGCGGGGAGACACGGGGGGAGACACGCGGGGGAGACGCGGGGGGAGACGCGGGGGGAGACACGCGGGGAGACGCGGGGGGAGACGCGGGGGGAGACACACGGGGAGACACACACGGGGAGACACGGGGGGAGACACGCGGGGAGACACACACGGGGAGACACGGGGGGAGACGCGGGGGGAGACGCGGGGGGAGACGCGGGGGGAGACACGGGGGGAGACGCGGGGGGAGACGCGGGGGGAGACGCGGGGGGAGACGCGGGGGGAGACGCGGGGGGAGACACACGGGGAGACACGGGGGGAGACGCGGGGGGAGACACACGGGGAGACACGGGGGGAGACACGGGGGGAGACACGGGGGGAGACACGCGGGGAGACACACACGGGGAGACGCGGGGGGAGACACGGGGGGAGACACGGGGGGAGACGCGGGGGGAGACGCGGGGGGAGACACGGGGGGAGACACGGGGGGAGACACGGGGGGAGACGCGGGGGGAGACGCGGGGGGAGACGCGGGGGGAGACACGGGGGGAGACACGCGGGGGAGACGCGGGGGGAGACGCGGGGGGAGACACGCGGGGGGAGACGCGGGGGGAGACACACGGGGAGACACGGGGGGAGACACGGGGGTAGACACGCGGGGAGACACACACGGGGAGACAGGGGGGGAGACGCGGGGGGAGACGCGGGGGGAGACGCGGGGGGAGACACGGGGGGAGACACGGGGGGAGACACGCGGGGGAGACGCGGGGGGAGACGCGGGGGGAGACACACGGGGAGACACGGGGGGAGACACGGGGGTAGACACGCGGGGAGACACACACGGGGAGACACGGGGGGAGACGCGGGGGGAGACACGGGGGGAGACGCGGGGGGAGACACGGGGGGAGACACGGGGGGAGACGCGGGGGGAGACACGCGGGGAGACACGGGGGGAGACACGGGGGGAGACGCGGGGGGAGACGCGGGGGGAGACACGGGGGGAGACACGCGGGGGAGACGCGGGGGGAGACGCGGGGGGAGACACGCGGGGAGACGCGGGGGGAGACGCGGGGGGAGACACCCGGGGAGACACGGGGGGAGACACGGGGGTAGACACGCGGGGAGACACGGGGGGAGACACGGGGGGAGACACGGGGGGAGACGCGGGGGGAGACACGCGGGGAGACACACACGGGGAGACGCGGGGGGAGACACGGGGGGAGACACGCGGGGAGACACGGGGGGAGACACGCGGGGAGACACGCGGGGAGACACGCGGGGAGACACGCGGGGAGACACGCGGGGAGACACGGGGGGAGACACGGGGGAAGACACGGGGGGAGACATGCGTGGAGACACGGGGGGAGACACGTGGGGAGACACGGGGGGAGACATGCGTGGAGAAACGGGGGTGAGATACGGGGGTGAGACACGGGGGTGAGACACGGGGGTGAGACAAGGGGGGAGACACGGGGGGAGACACGGGGGGAGACACGGGGGGAGACACGGGGGGAGATACAGGAAGACACACGGGGGAGAGAGAGATATGTAAAGACAGAGACACGGGGACATGGTAGAATGTTGTGGTTGTAGCGATTGTGGCTATAGCAGTGCTAGTGCTTGTGATGGTTATTGTGGTTGTGGTGGTTATTGTGGTAGTGGTCGTTGTTATGGTGGTTGTTGTGGTCGTTGTTGTGGTCGGTGTTGTGGTGGTTATGGTGGTTGTTGTGGTTATTGTGGTCATTGTAGTTGTGGTGGTGGATGTGATGGTTGTTGTGGTTGTGGTGGATATGGTGGTTGTGGTGGATGTGGTTGTTGTGGTGGTTATTGTGGTGGTTATTGCGGTTATTGTGGTTGTGCTGGATGAGGTGGTGATTGTTGCAGTTGTGGTGGTTGTGGTGGTTGTGGTTGTTGTGGTGGTTATTGTGGTGGTTATTGCGGTTATTGTGGTTGTTGCAGTTGTTGTAGTTGTTGTAGTTGTTGTGGTGGTTGTGGTGGTTGTAGTTGTAGTTGTGGTGGTTGTGGTTGTTGTGGTTGTTGTAGTTGTGGTGGTTGTGGTGGTTGTGGTTGTTGTAGTTGTGGTGGTTGTGGTTGTTGTAGTTGTTGTAGTTGTTATAGTTGTTGTAGTTGCTGTTGTAGTTGTTGTTGTAGTTGTTGTAGTTGTTGTAGTTGTTGTGGTGGTTGTGGTGGTTGTTGTGGTTGTTGTGATTGTTGTAGTTGTTGTAGTTGTTATAGTTGTTGTAGTTGTTGTTGTAGTTGTTGTAGTTGTTGTAGTTGTTGTAGTTGTTGTGGTGGTTGTGGTGGTTGTGGTGGTTGTTGTTGTAGTTGTAGTTGTTGTGGTTGTTGTGGTTGTTGTAGTTGTTGTTGTGGTTGTTGTTGTAGTTGTTGTGGTTGTTGTAGTTGTTGCCACCCACTGGTCCACTGCCGGTCAAAGCAGAACATGAACTGCCCAGCTGCCATGATGAGCGCGTGCAGGGAGATGATGCAGATATACAGCTGTGTACACACGCACACGCATACACAACACGCGTACACAGCACGCGTACACAACACGCGTACACAACACGCGTACACAGCATGCACACACACAACACATGTACACAACACATGCACACGCGTACACAACACACGTACACAACACACGTACACAGCATGCACACACACAACACATGTACACAACACATGCACACGCGTACACAACACACGTACACAACACACGTACACAGCATGCACACACATAACACACATACACAACACACGTACACACACGACACCGCACATATACAAAACACACACGCACACAACACATGTACACACCGCACGCATACACAACACACGTACACAGCACACATACATGGCACGCGTACACAACACGCATATATACACAACACACATATATACACAACACACAGCATGCGCACAATTACACATATACACAATACATTCACACAGCACATACACAACACGCACACAATTTCGATTTAAAGCTTTCGTGACTGCAAGGATTCATCTTCTTTGGTTCTTTCGGTAAAGTCACGTAGAATGAGAATAAAATAATAAATTGATAAAATAAAATAACACAATAATATTCTCACGACGTTTCGGCCACAACACAAGCGGCCTTCATCATCACTCCAGCGCTGTCCTCGAGACAATCTCGTCCCTTCACCTGATGAAGGCCACTTGTGTTGTGGCCGAAACGTCGTGAGAATTTTATTGTGTTATTTTATTTTATCAATTTATTATTTTATTCTCATTCTACGTGACTTTACCGAAAGAACCAAAGAAGATGAACACCCACACACACAATTACACACAAAGACAAAGATCCCCCGTATAGCCTGAAGAGACTGTAGAGGCAAGTGCTCTTAGCGAGCAGCACCTATGAAGGCCAGAACGGCACACGAGGGGGTGGGTGGCCAGCACCACGCCCGGCCGCCTTTGTCTCCCCACAGTGGCGATGTTTGAGGCCGACCTAAGGGGAGGCCCAGGACCGGTTCAGACAATCGCCACCGGTGTTGGCCGTGAGCGGGAATCGAACTCGGGTCGCCGGGTTCGTAGCGCGGCGTAGCGCTAACCGCTGCACCACCGCTCACGCCTCCACAACCCCCCTCCCCTTCCCTGCTCAACCCATCCTCCCCCGCTCACCGTGAAGAGCACAAAGTACTTCTGGTTGCGCTCCCCCACGCAGTTGTTCACCCACGGGCAGTGGTGGTCCATCTTGCGGATGCATCGCTTGCACACACTGCATGGGCGGAGCGGGGGGGGGAGCGGGGGGAGAGAGCGGGGGGGGGAGTGGGGGGAGAGAGTGGGGGGGGGGGAGCACGTGGATGTCAACGGCGGTGTCGACATCGGTCTCTGTGGTGGAGGAGGAGGCCCGTGGAGCATGCTGCTCGGAATCAGAACGTTTATTTATCTTGGAGAAATCCGATGAGCTACAAAGCTCTTTTTTTTCCCTCTCTCTTGCAAAAATAGATGGTGTATATACACTTCAGTTGCATAAACACGTCCATTCCCAAGGCAGTAAAACAACAGCAAGAACAGTCCCAGACCACACCAAGACAACAACAACAACAAGAACAGTCCCAGACCACACCAAGATAACAACAACAGTCCCAGACCACACCAAGACAACAACAACAGTCCCAGACAACACCAAGACAACAACAACAACAACAGTCCCAGACCACACCAAGACAACAACAACAACAGTCCCAGACCACACCAAGACAACACCAACAGTCCCAGACCACACCAAGACAACAACAACAACGAACCCAGACCACATCAAGACAACAACAACAACAGACCCAGACCACACCAAGACAACAACAACAACAGTCCCAGACCACACCAAGACAACAACAACAGTCCCAAACAACACCAAGACAACAACAACAGTCCCAGACCACACCAAGACAACAACAACAACAACAACGAACCCAGACCACATCAAGACAACAACAACAACAGACCCAGACCACACCAAGACAACAACAACAACAACAGTCCCAGACCACACCAAGACAACAACAACAACAGACCCAGACCACACCAAGACAACAACAACAGTCCCAGACCACACCAAGACAACAACAACAACAGTCCCAGCCCACACCAAGACAACAACAGTCCCAGACCACACCAAGACAACAACAACAGTCCCAGACCACACCAAGACAACAACAACAACAATAGTCCCCACGACTGTGAATACATCTGCGCCGGTTTGAAACATCCAGGGATGGCCCTGCCTGCGATCCATCCTGGCTCTAACGAGGCCGGATCACAGTGTGAGGCTCGCACAGCTCCTTGAGAGATCCGGACACGGTTCTCATCACCTTGCGAGCTCCTCCGGCAAGCGAGGGGGAGGCTGCGTTGGCCGGGTCATGTAGCCCCACATCCCTAGCCACCGCATCCCCAGCCACTACTTGGCTGGCTCACGTAGCCCCACATGCCTAGCCACCGCTTGCCTGGGTCAAGTAGCCCCACATGCCTAGCCACTACATCCCCAGCCACCGCTTGCCTGGGTCAAGTAACCCCACATGCCTAGCCACCGCTTGCCTGGCCACCGCTTGCCTGGGTCACGTAACCCCACATGCCTAGCCACCGCATCCCCAGCCACCGCTTTCCCAAGAAGCTTGTTTGGCCGGAGAGAGGAGGCTAAACAGGCACGACACCGGCTTGAGAAGAAGTGGACTGACGCGGTACAGGAGGACGTGAAGCTGAGTGTACTTGCCGTACACCGGTACCAGCGGCACCTGCAGTGGTGAGCGCGCTCAGGGTTGATGCTGTGTGTGGATTAGTCGGCGAGCGGGTGGGCGAGTGAGTGAGCGAGTGGGTGTACGCGTGAGTGGGTGTACGCGTGAGTGGGTGAGCGAGTGAGCCAGTGAGCGGGTGAGTGAGTGGGTGAGCGAGTGGGTGTACGCGTGAGTGGGTGAGCGAGTGAGCCAGTGAGCGGGTGAGTGAGTGGGCGAGCGAGTGGGTGTACGCGTGAGTGGGTGAGCGAGTGAGCCAGTGAGCGGGTGAGTGAGTGGGTGAGCGAGTGGGTGTACGCGTGAGTGGGTGAGCGAGTGAGCCAGTGAGCGGGTGAGTGAGTGGGTGAGCGAGTGGGTGTACGCGTGAGTGGGTGAGCGAGTGAGCCAGTGAGCGGGTGAGTGAGTGGGTGAGCGAGTGGGTGTACGCTGTGAGTGGGTGAGTGAGTGGGTGAGCGAGTGGGTGTACGCGTGAGTGGGTGAGCGAGTGAGCCAGTGAGCGGGTGAGTGAGTGAGCGGGCGAGTGGGTGTACGCGTGAGTGGGTGAGCGAGTGAGCCAGTGAGCGGGTGAGTGAGTGGGCGAGCGAGTGGGTGTACGCGTGAGTGGGTGAGCGAGTGTGCCAGTGAGCGGGTGGGTGAGTGGGCGAGCGAGTGGGTGTACGCTGTGAGTGGGTGAGCGAGTGGGTGAGCGAGTGGGTGTACGCGTGAGTGGGTGAGCGAGTGAGCCAGTGAGCGGGTGAGTGAGTGGGCGAGCGAGTGGGTGTACGCTGTGAGTGGGTGAGCGAGTGTGCCAGTGAGCGGGTGGGTGAGTGGGCGAGCGAGTGGGTGTACGCTGTGAGTGGGTGAGTGAGTGGGTGAGCGAGTGGGTGTACGCGTGAGTGGGTGAGCGAGTGAGCCAGTGAGCGGGTGAGTGAGTGGGCGAGCGAGTGGGTGTACGCTGTGAGTGGGTGAGCGAGTGAGCCAGTGAGCGGGTGGGTGAGCGAGTGAGCCAGTGAGCGGGTGGGTGAGTGGGTGAGCCAGTGAGCGGGTGAGCGGGTGAGTGAGCGAGTGAACGGGTGAGCGAGTGAGCGGGTGAGCGAGTGAGCGGGTGAGCGAGTGAGCCAGTGAGCGGGTGAGTGAGTGGGTGTACGCGTGAGTGGGTGAGCGAGTGAGCCAGTGAGCGAGTGAGCGAGCGGGTGGGTGAGTGAGTGAGCGAGTGAGCGAGTGAGCGGGTGAGTGAGCGAGTGAGCGAGTGAGCGAGTGAGCGAGTGAGCGGGTGAGTGAGCGAGTGAGTGGGTGAGCCAGTGAGCGGGTGAGTGAGCCAGTGAGCGGGTGAGTGAGTGGGTGAGCGAGTGAGCGAGTGAGCGGGTGAGTGAGTGGGTGAGCGAGTGAGCGAGCGGGTGAGTGAGCGAGTGGGTGTACGCGTGAGTGGGTGAGTGAGCGGGTGAGCGGGTGAGTGAGCGAGTGGGTGTACGCGTGAGTGGGTGAGTGAGCGGGTGAGTGAGTGAGCGAGTGAGCGGGTGAGTGAGTGGGTGAGCGAGTGTGCCAGTGAGCGGGTGGGTGAGTGGGTGAGCGAGTGAGCCAGTGAGCGGGTGAGTGAGTGGGTGAGCGAGTGGATGTACGCGTGAGTGGGTGAGCGAGTGAGCCAGTGAGCGGGTGAGTGAGTGGGTGAGCGGGTGAGTGAGCGGGTGAGCGAGTGAGTGGGTGAGCGAGTGAGCCAGTGAGCGGGTGAGTGAGTGGGTGAGCGAGTGGATGTACGCGTGAGTGGGTGAGCGGGTGAGCGAGTGAGCGGGTGAGTGAGTGGGTGAGTGAGCGAGTGAGCGAGTGAGCGGGTGAGTGAGCGGGTGAGTGAGCGAGTGAGCGAGTGAGCGGGTGAGTGAGCGGGTGGGTGAGCGAGTGAGCGAGTGAGCGGGTGAGTGAGCGGGTGAGTGAGCGGGTGAGCGGGTGAGCGGGTGAGTGAGCGGGTGAGTGAGCCGGCACCTGCAGTGGTGAGCGCGCTCCGGCTTGATGCTGCAGCACTTGGGGCACTTGTAGACCACCTGGCCGGGCAGCAGCGCCAACGACTCGATGAACTCCGGGGTCGCGTTGCCCAGAGGCACAGCGCCCTGCACACACAACAACACACAACAACACACAACAACAACAACACACAACAACAACACACAACAACAACAACAACACGCAAACCTTTACCATGCTGATCTCGCCAAGGAAGGTAAACCATGCAGCACACAAACTCCGGTGATCCTCGCAGCAGCAGATTTTTGGTTAACCGTCGGAGTGAGACAACGGTCAGCGCTGCATCGCGCGGCGCTTTCAGGTGCGATTCCGCGGCCGTCTGGAACGCTCTTCCCTGCTGGTATTAGGAAGCCACTGGTGCCCTTTAGAATCATCTCGACGGAACCCTCATTTCTTTAAAACTGCTTTTTGCGTTTCGTTTGTTTGGAACTGCTTTGTGTTTCGTTTGTGGTGTTGTTAAGCTTTGCTCGCAACTGCTTTTCTTCGTGATTGTTTTTGCGTTTAGTTTACCGGTTTGGCTGCGAACGGTGCGAAAGAAGTTCAACACGCACGTACAACAACAACAACACCAACAACAAACACACAACAACAGCTGTACAAGACACGATACACCCTTCGCTATGTTAATTTGTATCAGGTAAAGGCCCGCTGAGCTCTCCTTTCAGAAGCGACCTGCCTGTCTCAAACGATAGTAGCTCAACATATTCTTTGGGTCTTTCGGTAAAGTCACGGAGGTAGGTTCAGAGAAAATAACAAACCGATCGACGTTTTCTTTCAAGCTATCTACGTGACTTTAACGAAAAACCCCAAATATTATATATATATTAAAAAAAAGTGGCTGATCACGTTGAAATGTAGAGCGGCCAAATACTCCAAACCAGGGGTCCCCAACCCCCGGGCCCGCGGACCGGTACCGGTCCGTGGCCTGTGAGGAACCGGGCCGCACATCAGCAGGAGGTGAGAGCGGTGAGTCTGCACGTGGCCCCCCCGCCGCCCCATTATTTTATTATTTACCACTTCCGTCCGCGCCTCTTTCCCGCACTGCGCACTTGTCTCAGGTCACAGTTTTGGTATAAAGCCCACAAGCTCTAACCCCCTAGTAGCCACAATGAGTAACAAAAAACAAACGTCGCTGGAGAGCTTCTAAGAAAAAGGGGGAAAGGCCCCAACGATGAACCCCCCCCATGAAAAAAATTGCCTTCCACGATACCGGTCCCTGGTGCCAAAAAGATTTGGGACCGCTGCTCTAAAGCAGCGGTTCTTGTTAAGCTGGGGTGCATCACGCACCGCCTGGGGGTGCGCGATGCCCTTCCTGGGCGGTGCGAGACGCGGCAAGATTTGTTTTTAAAGGTAAACCATCGAAAAGACAAATTAAGCACGGGCACGTTAAGCAACAACTTACTTTGTTTCATCAAACCCGGCGTGTTTGTTAATATTGTCATCATTTTTTTACCGTTGAGAACCGAAGGGGTGCAAGGCTGCAGGAAAGGTTAAGAATCGCTGCTCTAGATGCACGGTGACGTTGATTCTACATGTGGAGGGAAAAACCGGAAGACCCGGAGAGAAATTCACGCGACCACGGGGAGAGAGAGAGACGCAAACTCCAAATATACAGCAGCAGCAGGCGTCAGGGTATTGATCGAACCCAAGACATCCTGCGTACCAGGCGAGGTGGTTAACATCTCCTAGCCACCGTGATGATGATGATAGAGACAAGCAAACTCCAAATACACAGCAGGTGTCAGGGTCTGGATCGAACCAAAGACTTCCTGCGTACCAGGCGAGGTAGTCAACATCCCCTGGCCACAGCGGCGGCCCAAGCACACCGGGACTCACGGGATCGGTGAGCATGGCACGCAGGTGAGCGCCCAGCGCCAGCGCGCAGGTGCCCAGGAAGGCCGCGTTGTTGAGCAGGCCGGCCCAGGTCCCCGAGAGCGGCCAGGCCGCCACGGCCGCCACGGCCACGGCGGCGTAGAGCACCAGGGCCCAGGTGAGCGCCGCGCAGGCCAGGCCGCAAGCATCCCTCACCAGCCAGAGGCCCGCCATCGTGGCGCGGGGGGAGGGCGGTGAGAGCCGGTCGCGGCTCGGGGACGGAGCGGCGGCACCGCCCGCTCGCCCGCTCGATAATCGCTCGCCCGCTCGCTCGCCCACCGACTCGCTCGCTCACGGGGGAGTTGGCCTGCTCGGTCAATCGCTCATCCGCTCACTCGCACGCGCGCGCGCTAGCTCGACCACTCACGCACGGAAAACACGCCTGTGCTCGAATGCTTGATCGCTCGCTCGCTCACCCGCTGGGTCATCTACTCACTCACCCACCGAATCGCTCATCCACCTACTCGCATGCCCGTTCGCTCACCTACCTACCGTATCAATTACCCACCCACTCACTCAGTGACCAATCGACTAATTTACTCACCCACCCACCCACCAACGTGCCAGCTGACTAGCACAGCTGTGAGCTAAGTGACATGCTCAGCAGCCGAATGGCGCGCTCACTATTCACTCGCTACTCACTCGGACCAGCTGGCACACCGCGCAAACTACTCAACGCACTCGATAACTCTCTCACGAATCGCCTGGCTAGCTCCCTCATTCAATCGCCCACCCACCCACAGACTCACTAACGAACTCAAATGTCAACCGATCAGTGCAATAAAGCACTCGCCAAATTCAGTCGCTCGATAATTGTCACCCACTCGCACGCTAAGGAATGAATTCCCGTTCAGAAAAGCATACACACACACCATACACACATGCACACACAAGTAAAACTCTCCCACCCCACACACACACACACGAAGAAAAATACCCAATAACACGCACACGTACACGCACCAAAATACTGTATAATCTTAAAAAGACAAAGATCCCCCCGTGTAGCCTTAACAGACTGTTTGGGCAAGTGATGTTAGCGAGCACCTATTAAGGCCGGCACGGCACACGAGGGGGTGGGTGGCCAACACCACACACACAACTCTGTCACATACACGCACAATAAAAGCACTCTCAATCACACACTCCCCCCCCCCCCCCGTGCTCACCCACACGCACGGCACGCTCACCCACACGCACGGCACGCTCACCCACACACACGCTCACCCACACACACGCTCACCCACACACCCCACACGCTCACACACCCCACACGCTCACCCACACACACGCTCACCCACACACACGCTCACACACCCCACACGCTCACACACCCCACACGCTCACCCACACACACGCTCACCCACACACACGCTCACCCACACACACGCTCACCCACACGCACCCAGCAAGCGCGTTCAACACGCTGGACGCTGGCGAGCACAGAAAGCTGAACCTGTGAACAGAGAGAGACAAAAACAGGTGTTAGAGAGTTACGGCACATTCCATCATCACCGTGGTATATCCACTGCAGGATGAAGATGAATGTGATGGTGGTGGTGGTGATGTCTCTACCCCTGCGTGTGTCCCTCCACTCCACGTGCTCCTCAGTGCAATCATCATCACCGTGGTCAATGCACTGCTGGATGATTATCAATGTGATGTTGGCGATGTCTCTACTAGACATCTGTGAAAGTGCTTTATAGCTCATCGGATTCCTCCAGTATCAATACATATTCTGATCCTGATGCAATGCGGCGGTACGTCTCAACGTCTCCATTCCCTGATTTGGCTGTTGCTACATCACCACCACCCACACTCCATCACCACCACCCACACGCCACCACCACCACCCACACTCCATCACCACCACCCACACTCCATCACCACCACCCACACTCCATCACCACCACCCACACTCCATCACCACCACCCACACTCCACCACCACCACCCACACTCCACCACCACCACCCACACTCCATCACCACCACCCACACTCCATCACCACCACCCACACTCCACCACCACCACCCACACTCCATCACCACCACCCACACTCCATCACCAGCACCCACACTCCACCACCACCACCCACACTCCATCACCACCACCCACACTCCATCACCACCACCCACACTCCATCACCACCACCCACACTCCACCACCCACACTCCATCACCAGCACCCACACTCCATCACCAGCACCCACACTCCATCACCAGCACCCACACTCCACCACCACCCACACTCCATCACCACCACCCACACTCCATCACCACCACCCACACTCCATCACCACCACCCACACTCCATCACCACCACCCACACTCCATCACCACCACCCACACTCCATCACCACCACCCACACTCCACCACCACCACCCACACTCCATCACCAGCACCCACACTCCATCACCAGCACCCACACTCCATCACCACCACCCACACTCCATCACCACCACCCACACTCCATCACCACCACCCACACTCCATCACCACCACCCACACTCCATCACCACCACCCACACTCCATCACCACCACCCACACTCCATCACCACCACCCACACTCCATCACCCCCACCCACACTTCATCACCACCACCCACACTCCATCACCACCACCCACACTCCATCACCACCACCCACACTCCATCACCACCACCCACACTCCACCACCCACACTCCATCACCACCACCCACACTCCATCACCACCACCCACACTCCATCACCACCACCCACACTCCACCACCACCACCCACACTCCATTATCACCACCCACACTCCATCACCAGCACCCACACTCCATCACCAGCACCCACACTCCATCACCACCACCCACACTCCATCACCACCACCCACACTCCATCACCACCACCCACACTCCATCACCACCACCCACACTCCACCACCACCACCCACACTCCATTATCACCACCCACACTCCATCACCACCACCCACACTCCATCACCAGCACCCACACTCCACCACCACCCACACTCCATCACCACCACCCACACTCCATCACCACCACTCACACTCCACCACCACCACCCACACTCCATCACCACCACCCACACTCCATCACCAGCACCCACACTCCACCACCACCCACACTCCATCACCACCACCCACACTCCATCACCACCACCCACACTCCATCACCAGCACCCACACTCCACCACCACCCACACTCCATCACCACCACCCACACTCCATCACCACCACCCACACTCCATCACCACCACCCACACTCCATCACCACCACCCACACTCCACCACCACCACCACCCACACTCCATCACCACCACCCACACTCCATCACCACCATCCACACTCCATCACCACCACCCACACTCCATCACCACCACCCACACTCCATCACCACCACCCACACTCCATCACCACCACCCACACTCCATCACCAGCACCCACACTCCATCACCAGCACCCACACTCCATCACCAGCACCCACACTCCATCACCACCACCCACACTCCATCACCACCACCCACACTCCACCACCACCACCACCACCCACACTCCATCACCACCACCCACACTCCATCACCACCACCCACACTCCATCACCACCACCCACACTCCACCACCACCACCCACACTCCATCACCACCACCCACACTCCATCACCACCACCCACACTCCATCACCACCACCCACACTTCATCACCACCACCCACACTCCATCACCACCACCCACACTCTATCACCACCACCCACACTCCATCACCACCACCCACATTCCATCACCAGCACCCACACTCCACCACCACCACCCACACTCCATCACCACCACCCACACTCCATCACCACCACCCACACTCCATCACCAGCACCCACACTCCACCACCAGCACCCACACTCCACCACCACCACCACCCACACTCCACCACCACCCACACTCCATCACCACCACCCACACTCCATCACCACCACCCACACTCCATCACCACCACCCACACTCCATCACCACCACCCACACTCCACCACCACCACCCACACTCCATCACCACCACCCACACTCCATCACCACCACCCACACTCCATCACCAGCACCCACACTCCATCAACACCACCCACACTCCATCACCACCATCCACACTCCATCACCACCACCCACACTCCATCACCACCATCCACACTCCATCATGACCACCCACAGTCCATCACCACCATCCACACTCCATCACCACCACCCACACTCCATCACCACCACCCACACTCCATCACCACCACCCACACTCCATCACCACCATCCACACTCCATCACGACCACCCACACTCCATCACCACCATCCACACTCCATCACGACCACCCACACTCCATCACCACCATCCACCTTCCATCACCACCACCCACACTCCATCACCACCACCCACACTCCACCACCACCACCCACACTCCATCACCACCACCCACACTCCATCACCACCACCCACACTCCATCACCACCACCCACACTCCACCATCACCACCCACACTCCATCACCACCACCCACACTCCACCAGGACCACCCACACTCCACCACCACCACCCACACTCCATCACCACCACCCACACTCCACCACCACCACCCACACTCCATCACCACCACCCACACTCCATCACCAGCACCCACACTCCACCACCACCCACACTCCATCACCACCACCCACACTCAATCACCACCACCCACACTCCATCACCACCACCCACACTCCATCACGACCACCCACACTCCACCACCACCATCCACACTCCATCACCACCACCACCCACACTCCACCACCCACACTCCACCACCACCACCCACACTCCATCACCACCACCCACACTCCATCACCACCACCCACACTCCACCAGGACGCGTCATCACGTCCAGGAGGGGACGATGATCACGACGATGACAATGATCATGTCGACGATGATCATGTCGACGATGACCATGACGACGACCATGATCAGGATGATCACGACGATGACGATGATCATGACGACGATGATCACGACGACGACAACTATCACGATGATGATCACAATGACGACGACGATCACGACGACGACGATCACGACGACAACGATCACGACGACAACGATCACGACCACGATGACGATCACGACGACGAGGATCACGACGATGACGATCACGACAACGACGATCACGAAGACGATGATGATCACGACGACGAGGATCACGAAGACGATGACGACCACGATGACGATCACGACCATGATGACGATCACGACGACGAGGATCACGACGACCACGATGACGATCACGACCACGATGACGATCATGACGAGGATCACGACGACGGCACACGATGGTCGAGGCTCATCGCGGAGCGGCAGCCGAGGGACGAGACGCGTCTAAAAAGAGGACGTCGCACCGCGGAGACGGAGCCGCCTGGGGGTGGGCGGGGGGGTTGGTGGCTCTGCAAAGTCGATGGGATCGCCGAGCAGCGCCGCCGCTGTGACTGTGCCGGAAGTCACTGCACCGTCGACCGACGTTACAGCGACAGTGGCGGGTGAATCGATGGTCTGTCTGCAAGAGGAGGTCTCTGTGATCTAAATATATCCGCGGCTGATGGGCAGCCCACGGTCACGCGCTCCCAATGGCACACGCGCGCGAGCCACGTGGCTAGAGTGCGCGCACACAGAGGGACAGAGGCGCAGAGGGACAGACGGGCCGAGGGACAGACACTAAGAGGGACAGACACTAAGAGGGACCGACACTAAGAGGGACAGACGGGCAGAGGGACAGACACGCAGAGGGACAGACGGGCAGAGGAACAGACACACAGAGGGACAGACACACAGAGGGACAGACACGCAGAGGGACAGACGCGCAGAGGGACAGAGGCGCAGAGGGACAGACGGGCAGAGGGACAGACGAGCAGAGGGACAGACGGGCAGAGGGACAGACACGCAGAGGGACAGACGGGCAGAGGGACAGACACGCAGAGGGACAGA